CTTCATCCTGACAGAGGTGGAGCTTTTCAGCAGGAAACTGCCATGTCACATATTTGTTTCAAAGGATACCTTGTCAAGCAACACAGAAGATGGATTGGGGTTAGAGAGCAGTGAAGAAGATAGGAAGGGACAAGTCTGTATGTGTAGAGACTGCTAGAAATCCTCTGCAGAGTTTAGAGAGTGCACTGACACATATCTGTTGATTTAAATAGTCAAGAATTGGAAACATCCTAAATGTCTTGAGGTATGGTGTGTTAGGTAGGATTTCTGTCAGATTGCCTTGGTCACAGGGTTTGTTGGCTTTTGTCCCTGGGAATTGTTCAAACTGGCTTTAGGCAGAACTGTGTTCAGGGCTGGGAGGACATCTTCACTCTTTCCATAGCTCAGCTTTGAGTTTCTCTAGGCTGGTGTCATTCTCAGGAAGACTGTCTTCACAGGGGCAGAAGGGACCACCTGCAGTTCCAGACTTCCACCGTACCAGCTTAGTGACTCCAGCAGAAAGACGTTGACTTCAGAAGTAGCTCTGACTTATCGTAGGGAAACTGTGAGTGGCAGGATTTGGATTGTGAACCCACGTTACCCCTGAGCCTTAGTCAGGTAGAGGCTGCTGGGTTATGTGTCCACCTTTGGAGACTGGGGAGAGTCAAGGCATCAGGACTGGCTCCACACCTGCCACCTGTGTGGAACAGAATTGCATGGTTTGGGGGAAGGGGGGTGAGTTCCACAAAGGGATGCTGCCAGACTAGAGCCACAGGGCGTACTCAGCTGATAGAATGAGCTCAGGCACATCCCGCCCTCAAGTATCGAGCTGTTTTAACAAGAAGTGATGAGCTACGGTTATTACCTGAAAAGATATCTGTGGCACATCATGTAAGTGAAAAAAGAAGTTTACAAGAGAGTAGGTGTAGTAGGATACAATTTTAGTTTGAGGATAAAAAAGATCTATAAGCCTAGAAAAAACCTCCTAATCATGATTATTTCTAGGTGGCAAGATGATGGGTAACTTCTCTTTTTCATTATATCTTTATTATCTGAACAAAGTTTTATACTGAATATATATTTCTGTTATAATCAGGAAAGCCAATAAAACCATTCATATTGAGGGGAAAGAAAAGCTTGTTGATTGCAGAAATCTTGGCAAAAATGGATAAGGCCCAAACTAAGAAATAGGAAGAGGAGGGAATGGGTTGATGGCTTTTAAGAAGTTAACATGCCCAAGATTTGATGATCAATCGGCTGTGAGGGCTGAGGAGTGAGCCCAGGCTGGCTCTGGGTTTCTGCCGTTGTGATCAGGTGATGTGGAGGTATGTGACATTCTTAGAAATGTTTGGGACTTACTAGCAGAAAAAAACAGGCCTCAGATTTATGCAGTTGAAAGAATGATCAGATTAACTTCATAACAATTCTGATTTATATTTGAAGATGACATTATTATTGTTTGGTAGATATAGTGTATATTTCATTTATTAAGTAGTTGATAAGCTCCTTGAGGGTAGAAATTTGTCATTATGTCATAATCCCTCAACACTTGGCCTATAACCTGGCTTATAGAAAGAGATCTAAAATGTCTGTTGTTGAATGAATTATTCAGGTAAGCTAAAGGTATTTCTTAAAAGTACTCATCATAATCTGCTTGGGAGACACACAAGCCAGTTTGTAAATAAGTGTTTCCATAGTTATTTTCTTAATAAGAAAAGATGTTTATCCTAAATCGTTTGAAGATCATTGTTAGTTTAGCAGATCCCTTCTAGTTTTTAACATATAAAAAGTTCAGTGTGGTTTTGCATACATATGGCACAATTTGCTCAAAAAACTGAGGTAATACTGTGTATATAGCCTGGGTCTCTTATGTGTATTTTGGTCTACCTTACAACATTATTTTCCTCTGAAGCACAGAGGAAAATAGTTCACAGGGTCCAGAAAATAAAATATTTGGACTATGAGCTTATGTATTAGAGCAGATTAAGGAGCTTGGGCTGATCTGGCTTTGAATCCCAGTTGCCATCTCCTACTGTGTAGACTTCAGTAGTTTAACACACACTCTCTCTGTTTCCTCATCTGTACAAGCATGTTATAAGGTTGTCATGAGGATAAAATGAGAGTCATTGTAATGTGCTTAGCACAGAACTAGTAGTTTAACACACACTCTCTCTGTTTCCTCATCTGTACAAACATGTTATAAGGTTGTCATGAGGATAAAATGAGAGTCATTGTAATGTGCTTAGCACAGAACTTGGCATGTAGTCAGAACTCAAATATCAGCTACTTTTATTTTTAGTCACATTTGTTTATCTTCTGGGATAGAGTGATTACTAAAAGTACAGGATTTCCTGTATCTCTTTTATGCTGGGATTTCTTTTATTTACCTTGAAATGTAAATACTTTCTCTTTGAAACCCTTGCAACACAACTAAAGTCTGTGTTCCCATCTGAAGGCAGAGCAAAAGAGAAAGCTTGGTCTAAGGTTAGATCTTGATGAAAAGGTCATTTCAGATCGCATCAGCCTGGATTGTGGCTTTTGATTTATTACAGGCAACATTAGGAATGCTTATGTTAAGGCCAGGGCTGGCTCTGCAGGTGTTACCAGGCAGGCACCAGCTGCGGGTCTGCTCCTTGGAAGCAGGCCACACCCAGCCTGTGGTTACTTCACAGTCACTTGCTGGGGTGAGTCGCAGCTGAGCAAAACCCCGTGCTGCCAAGGCCCTGTAGCAAATTCAGCATTACCTAGGAAGAGACACAGAGGGGTCTGACCAATGCCCAGGCCTTGCTTCATTGGTGCCCTTTGTCAGCACTGGCTATATTTCTCCTTAGGAATCACCTGAAGTCCTTATACTTCACTTGTGAGTTGTCCATCCCCAAGTTAACATCCCATGACACAAGAGGAGTGGCAGCACAGTATTTGGATGAAAAATTAGATAGGGGGGAGAACTTGTATGTGTAATTCATACTTCATACAGTCTCAAATGATTTAGTACCAAATTATAGTCATGATGCAGCAAAAGCCTCACGGGTTTTTTTGAATAGATTATTTACCTCTTCCCCTCCCTCATACTATTCAAGCCATGGGAATCCTTGACCCTGAAATGTATACATGTATGTATTTTTGTCTTTTTTTGAGGTTTAACAATCATTTTATTTTCAACTACTCCTTAGTATATTATAACGTGAAATAAGATCCATTAAGTGTTTTATAAGCTAGATTTTTTTTTTTTTTTTACGTGCCCACATAGGGACTAGATAACTGAATTGCAGAAACACATATCTAAAGCATGGAGCTTTAGTCACCATGTAAATTTTCTGAAAATATAAAACACGATCCCAAAGTATAGAGTGTAAGATTCTAGTTTAAAACTTTTAGAATTAACCAAGTTTTACAAAGATATTTTAAGCTGCCTTAACGCCACTTAGAATGCCTTTCCCTCCATACTCCAAATCCCCTCCACCCCCAACTCTTCAAAACAAACAAACAAACAAACAAAAAAAGCCATTGCCTCTTGTTGGCAGTAGAATTTATTCAGTAATTTACTTTTCAGCCAACTGCAGCCATTGCCGTTGCCTCTGGGCACTTGTTCAAAAATGCAGAAATGAAATAACAGATTGGCCAGACCGAACACAACTCCCCAGTCACAACCTTATTATCTCCTCGTTCTGTCACCTCCATTAAGCAGGAGCCTGGGAGACCGGATGGTGACAACACAGTGTTTATGCAGCCTGTGCATCTCCGAAGTTCACAGCTTCCTGCCAGCGTCCCCTCTTCAGCCTGTTCATCTGTGTGCAGCACTGATGAGATGGGGTTGGGCGTCCGATCCCTAGGCCTGTGCGGGCCACCTCTGCCCATCTCAGAGGGCTTCCATGCTGCCTCACGTCAGGCAAGGGCTCCTCAGTCCTGAAAAAGCCAGAACAAGATGAAGGGACCAGCTTCCTCCACATGGTGACCACCCACCTGTGAACGGATGTGGTTGAAGCTGCAGCGTATGAATTTTACTGAATTTTGAGTATATCTCAATTACCAGAGGAATTGGGTTTCCTGTTATTTATAGCTGTTCCATTCAGGTCAGAGCCAAGCAGAGCAGTGGCTTCATTTAATGTCTGGCCCACGTGTCCTCTGCAGGGCCATCCCCTGAAAAAAATGGAAATTTCTATGGACGAAAAGAAGGTAGAGGAGAGGAGCGTTTCTGTTTAATCAAGAGAGAATTGTTTTCTGATTGTCTTCTGGTGAAACTTCTTTTAAAATTATAGGCACAAGATACAAATGTTTAGAGAGGGTGTGGGGTTGCTTTCTCTCTTGGTCAGGTATTAAAATAGAGAAGTCGTAGAGCTCAAATGATGAGAAATCCAGAGGAAAGCCCTTTCTCTCTTCTGGAATACTCTCCCCTATAGACACTGTTGCTTTGGAGTGGTTTATGCCCCGGTGAGCTTTACCTTTTATTCTGTGTTTATTCCATGCACTGTTCAGTATAACTCCATAATTATATCTTCTATTAGTAACTCTTAGAGGAGGTGAAAACCTGGGGTGATATTGCTCACTTTTCCCCCAAATTCCCTTTTACCCAGTTGGATGGTAAACACAGCTGGAGTCAGATGAGATTGTGTGGAGCCCCCTCCCCTGTTCAGAATCACCAGTTCAGCCCTGCTCCCTGCAGATTTCTGGCCATTAGGTGGTGAAACCTGGATGAGAGCATTTCCAACAGGAGACAGGAGGAGCTTTGTGCTGAGGAAACGAGGAGAGTGCACAGTTTGATGACTTTTAGATAAGTGGATTTCCCCCTAAAAAGAGTAGGATTTGGTTCAGGTTAATCCTTCCTGGAGAAAATTATTCTCATGTGAAGGTTTTGCTAGGGATATGGGGGAGAGCTTTCTCACCCCTCCCAGGTAAGAAAGAGCAGGGTAAAATGAAAACATGTAATTACGGGTGCAGTGGCTGGTATGAAATTTGTAATTGTTGCTGCTGTTTCTTGCTGATTGGACTCTGACTGCCCTGTCCTTTCCTTTCCACATCAGCTCATACCCCAGATAACAGCTTTCTGGGGTTTGTGGTCGAGCAGCACCTGAACTCCAGCGACATCCACCACATTAACGAAATCAAAAGGCAGAACCAGTCCCTTGTGTATGGCAAAGTGGATAGCTTCTGGAAGGTGAGTCAGTCTGTGTGCGTGTCTCTCTCTCTCTCTCTGAAAAGAAGCTTGTTGGGTAATTTAATTTAACTTTGATCCAGGGAATAATCAAGCCAAGTGCCCAGGGCTTGATGGAATCTGCTGAAAAGAAGCTTGTTGGGTAACTTAATTTAACTTTGATCCAGGGAATAATCAAGCCAAGTGCCCAGGGCTTGATGGAATCTGCTTAGAAGTAAATAAGAATGTGCAAGGATTTGGTTGCTCAGCATTTGGGTGTGTAGCCAAGGCTGTAGCTGCTCATCCGTGCAGTAGCCAGACAAGAAACCCTTCCACTCTTTGCATGTCGGAAGTGACTTTTTCGTATCTAGTACTTGTTCCCAAGAGCCAGAACCTTGCAAGGGTTGGGTATCATTCTGGAGCTAGGCACTGCATAGAGGAACCCTTGCCAAGTGAGTGTTTTCCTCTGCCTTATTGACAGTAGTCTGTGAAGGAAGGTAGCTCTTTTCTTGGGGAACACAGTGACCTTGACACCCTTCTGATTGTAGTCAGTACTCAGCCTGGAATGGGAATGCCAGCCAGGGCCAACTGTGGGCAGTTTGCTCAGGGAGGTCTTGGATGAAATGGTGCTCTTGGCCACAGACTGAACCAGATTTTCTAAACCTGGGGTGATCTCCAGAGTACACTGGGACAGGTATAAGGAGAAAACAGGATCGGGTGTGACCCATTGATAGGCAGACAATAAAAATCTTTTTATATAGGAGCTCTGCCTCAGTAGGCAAATGTCATACTTTATTTTGAGAAAATGTTTTTATAGAGCAGAAGTCTCCAGAACTTCAAAACATGCCTCTTCCTGAGGGCTGGACAGTTAGCTCAGTTGCTTAGAGTACAGCCTTATAACCCCAAAGTCTTGGGTTCAGATCCCCCTATTGGCCAGCCACCAAAACAAAACATGCCTCTTCCTAAATGTAAGGATTAATCCCCGAGGGGTGAGGGGAGAATTTAGCAGTGTTTGGAGACAATTTTAGTCGTCATGTCTGGGAGGTGGCACTATTGGCGTCTAGTGTGCAGAGGCCAGGGGTGCTATAACATCCTCCAGTGCACAGGACAGCCTCCTGGGCACATGGAAGCATCTGGCTCAAAATATCAGTAGAACCAAAGCTGAGCTGATAAGAATTATTTCCTGTCTATGTTACTCAACTCTTTCTTCTCTCAAGTAAAATAAAATTAATCCAGACTGTACTCAGCTATTTAGGATGTTCCCATGAATTTATATATTAAATGTCTCTGCTTCCCTTATGTCAAAATGTGCCCTGTCCCAATGGGGCATTTTTCAGCTGAATTTCAACCAAACTTGGATTAAAAAGGGCACGTTGGGTGCTCTCATTCTAAGCTTGGTTGTGAAATGAATGGATCATGACATTAGTTTTAGGAAGACTTGAGCTTTTAAAGGAAAGCTCAACTCCGTTCTCTCCTCTGTGTCTGCTCAAAGAAAATAGCTTGCCTGTCTGTGTGGGCTTGACCTTGAAATTATTTCACTTCTCTTTTGGAACCAAGTGCAGCCTCCTCTAGGTGCCTCTGGCAGCTTTTTCTGTTTTGCTAGAAAAACAAAACAGTGAATTGGTTCTGAAAGCTTTTTTTAGTTACCTGTTTTGGATAGATAATACTGCCAGTAAAAGGATGACTTCCTTGATGCCAGTCAGAATTCCAAAAGAGTTAAACCATGTTGCTCAAGTAATTCTAAGTGTGATTTGGAAATTTTTCCTAATTGAGGTGTTAGAACTCTGCAGGTGACCTGATCTTCTGCATACTGAGCATCACCCAGGAACTAATAAAAGGCTGAGCAGAAGAGTGTCCATAGTCGTTTTTGCCTGAATATCAAAAATCCAGGGTTTTAATGCATCATTCCAGCATTCTGTGCTGGGAAAGGCCCAAGAAGATGGAAAATACTGTAAAGTTTTCACATGAATTCAGGACAACTTCTCCAACTTTTTAACACAGCACAGTATGTGAGAGTTTAGTTTTCTTTTTCCAAAATGTCTCCATCCCTGAGTATTTAGTGAATGCACACAAAAAACAGATGTGCCTTTTAAACGAGGTGGTGTTCCAATCACTTTTCCAAAGTTGCATTCAACATGGGCTTCAGCTTCAGGAGATTTTGTAAATGGTTTTTCCCATCCCATGCCCCATTCTTCCCTCCCCATTCAATCAATCCCCCTTTGCTACAGAGATTTTAGGAAGGGAAATGACACCTGTCTATCCTGGGAGGTTTAAGATCACAGCAGGGGAGTGTGGGAGGGCATGGCTGGACTAGATAATTTGGAAGATTCTTTTTTATCCTCAGATCCTAGGGCTCCTTGAAATTCCAAAGATACCTGCTGTGCTATTAATCCTGCTGTGCTCTTTTCCACCTCCCTCTGTCCTCAGTGACTCTCCCCCCCTACCCAGGCACTTGAGTGTTAAATGCCACCATGTGACTCCCTCTAACCTTGGCTGATTGGAGGGGGTTGTCCTCTGACCCAAGGCAGTCCACCTTGTTGGTGATTGGAACCATGATTCTAGCTCAGAAAGCTGAGCTGGATCAATGAGATTCTTCACTTGGTGTTGGAAAACAGGTGGACAGTGAGAATGAGCCTTGGAGGGACACACAGGATGTGACCAGAGTTGTGATGAGGCCGAGGCAGAAGCCGTTCACATGTCCACATGATGAGGAAGTGGGACTGATGTTGAAAGGGAGAGGGCGCTGTTGAGAGGACGATGGAGACCACCGTGGGAGGAGAAGCATCACCGAGAGAGAAGTGGGGGCTCCTGGAGGGGCTGGGTAGGGTGGAAGGCAGACAGACATATACAACTCACGCAGCCTAGAGAGAGAGAAAGCAGCTGCTGGAGTTCCTGGCAGCCTTTTAAAATTTTCTCCTCCCAGATCATGTATCCTTTTATCACATTCTGTTCCCTTGCAGTATCCTGAGTGCTTTCTGTTCCTTATAGTCATATCAAGGACACCTACTAAAGTGTTAGGTTGTCCCACATTCCAAATGTCTATCAAGAAACACGAGTCTATTAAATATAGAGAGGCTAAGGAAGAACAGGCTGCCCCCTCAATCTCCTGCCCCCAAATTCATGACTGAGGTACCCAGAGTGGCCTGATATTGTAATACATGGTGGGGAGGTAAGTGGAGGGGGCAGTCCTGCTGGTGGACTTCAGAATCCCAAGGGCACCAACTTAGGAAGCATCTCTGCTCAAGCCCCTTAGCATCAAATGAGACCTCTCACCACCTAATCCCAAGTACAAGTCTCTCTTCTTAACCCAAGAGCTAGAATTCTGGTTTCTTGACCTCCACCCCAGGCATTCTGATCGCTGGCTCCAGCCAACACCAGAGATGTGCCTAGAAGAGGAGTCTATCCATTATGGCCGAGTTCAAGATCCTTCTACATCCTGTTACCTAAAGTCATCAGGAAATGAAAAATTAGTTAATTACTGGCTCCAGCCAGCACCAGAGATGTGCCTAGAAGAGGAGTCTATCCATTATGGCCAAGTTCAAGATCCTTCTACATCCTGTTACCTAAAGTCATCAGGAAATGAAAAATTAGTTAATTGCGTAGAAATAAGCAATTTTTAAAATATGGAAACTCACATTAATTGAAGTTTTGCTTAACTGTATTGCTTTAATTTTCATATTTATTTAAAAATAGTATCCTGAGCATAACTGAATCTTTGGGTAATGATGCAGGGTCAGTATCTTACAGGTTTATGATTCCACTCTGTGTTCTTACTACTTATTAATACATTACGGGGGCCTTGCCTTGACCACTTCAGGAGAATAGGCATGGCTTCTGAATCACCAGCTGGGCTTGGCTTGGCCACTTAGCCAGCACGTGAGGTAGTTCACCTTGTGGAGGCTTAGGTTCCTGTCAGTGGGAGCAGTGACAACTATCACGTATAGGAGGACTTCTTAGCTGAAATAGCACCTGTGATCTTGTTAAAATGCAGGTACTGACTCAGACCTGGGCTGGGGCCGAGATCCTGCCTTTGTCACAAGCACCAGGTGATGCTGCTGGGCTGTTGGTAAAGCATGCCATGAGTAGCAAGGTCTTGGGATGTTTGGGATTCTGTAGAGTGCTTGGCTCTAAGTAGCTGACCAACCGGTAAATTCCCCGTTTCTCCTTCCCTTTGCCTGCCGGCTGCTCTTGCAGACTGCCAGCTATTGTGTCACTTCTTGCTGCTATTAGTGCCTGACCCAGTCACCCCCAGTCTTCCTTCCCAGGAGCACATGTGCAAACCTTGCTGCTTCTAGTCTCTGCCACCAGGCCCCTGGAATACCTGCTATAGTCTGTGGACTCGGGGGAGGTAGAGGCACACTGTCTTCTTGGTGATCTGCTGTCCTGGTGTGTGCAGTCAGGTGCCTGCTGAGCAGTGTGACATGCTGATCAAGGGCTCCTTGAAATTCCAAAGATACCTGCTGTGCTATTAATCCTGCTGTGCTCTTTTCCACCTCCCTCTGTCCTCAGTGACTCTCCCCCCCTACCCAGGCACTTGAGTGTTAAATGCCACCATGTGACTCCCTCTAACCTTGGCTGATTGGAGGGGGTTGTCCTCTGACCCAAGGCAGTCCACCTTGTTGGTGATTGGAACCATGATTCTAGCTCAGAAAGCTGAGCTGGATCAATGAGATTCTTCACTTGGTGTTGGAAAACAGGTGGACAGTGAGAATGAGCCTTGGAGGGACACACAGGATAGCCAGGCACCGGGCAAAAGCTAGCCCTCATTCATAAGCATTTGATAATAAAAAGGGCCTTAAATTTGTGCAGCGTTTCTACTTCTCAGAGCCCTTCACAGCTGTCCTTTAAGGAGGTTGATGGAGTTTGGATGTGCTGTCCCCTCCAAAACTCATGTGGAAATTTGATTCCCAATGTTGCAGTGTTGGAAAAAGATTGAGTCATGGGGGCAGATCCCTTATGAATGGATTAATGCTCTCCCTGGGGGAGGGGGGATAAGTGAGTGAGTTCTCGCTCTATTAGTTCCT